CCACATCATCAAAAAAAATATTAAAAATGCCACGGAAGCAGAGTTAATGGTCCAATTTAACAGAAGGACTAACGGAGTGCATTTCGTATAGTTGAGGGATTAAAAAAGTGCAAAAAATTCTCAAGGGACCAAAAATGTGCAAACCACTAAAGTTGAGGGACCAAAATGAGCATTTAACCAGGCATTTATAAGAAGCTCTAGGAACAAAAAATTAAGCCCGGTTAGGTTAGCTTCCACGTCTCATTGCATTATTGTGAAGGAAACTCGGAAAATTTCACGGCTGCCCTGGCCCCTCTTAGGTCACAACCTTTCTGAACCTACTCCGCCGGGGCTGAGCACCATTCTTTTTGGTGATGTCGTGGGGTGGGAGGTTCCTCCCTTTGTCTGGAGAGCTTGGGTATCTTTCCAAATCCAGAGTACCAACAGAATATATTGTAACTGAATAATTACCCTGAACAAAACTTTCTTATTATGACACTCAATAAAATATTTTCCCAAAAAAATGTATATCCTGAAGAAACGAGGCCAAGAAGCATGGTTGAAAGGAAGGAAAATCTAGAAGAAAAAAACACATACAATAATTATACCTCTGCAAGTTTCACACAAAAAAATAAATTAATCCCACTCTAGCTAGACAGAGCAGTTAATCTCTTAGCTGCCTTGTTCCTAGCCAGTTGCAAGAACCAGCAAACAGACACCATGCCTCATACTGCTTTCTCGTCTCTCAGATCCTCAGTGCATGTATCTCATGAAAGCCTGCAGGATAGAAATACTAGCAATAGCAATACTTCTATTATGTTATTTACATTTCATACAGTATACGTATTTCAGTCTTTCAGAAGACCTAGGACTGTAGTGCATGCGAATGCGTATCACCATCAGTCTAGCCAGCTGAAGATGATGTGTACTATTCTTTGAATTATCTGACGGTTTCAACTCTGTCAATTACATCCAGTGCTTTCTCTTTGTATATACCGAAACCAATGATGGAAACCCCGGAAGGAAGCCTTTTAACAGATACCTTTGCTTTGTTTTCTTTGGTGGTGGTATGACTGCAACTTTTGCTGAGCCTATCATGTTTTCTCAACCTGGTCTCCTCAGAGTCAAAATCCTCACTCTTACTAATTCGCTGAGTTTGTCTTTTCTTACTTAAATCCTCCAACAGCTTCTGTTCTTCCGTTGTTAGTAAGGAGGCATTGGAAGGCTCATGTTTTGACAGATGATTTGCCTTTTGGACAGCTGTAGAAATTGGAGATTTGGTCGAGGACCTCAATATGCCACCAACAAGGACAGCAGACTTGGATCGGTTGAACAAATGCTGGAGCCACAACAATTGTTCAAGAATATAGGCCTCTGTTTTCTCTTTATCAGCATGATGGAGTGTTTCAATCCGAATCACTTCAGATGTGCTAGCTGCAGGCTTCCGGTTTGCTTCAGAACTGTGCATAAATAATTGCAAATAAGATGACCATATAATTATTTAACACAGCATATTTTGGCTATTCTTAAGCAAATCATTAAAGAAAATGGAGAGGATAAAAAGAGAAATATGGTCACTCACCCTGTATTTGCCCACTCTCCAACCCAGCCAAAACCATGATGGGCTCTATTGATTCAAAATGAGAGCAAAAGAAAGTATGATTAGACAGAGTTATAAATAAGATAATCAATCAAAAGACTATCCTAAGCCAGGCTATCTCACTTGGCTGTGTTAGTGGCAATTGGAACAAGCCACTGCAAAGTCTTCTCCATCTCAGCTTTGATTTCTGTAACAGTGAGCTGTGGATATACAAAATAAGCATAAGAGCACTGGGAAATTCTAATTAAAGCACTGATTGGTCATTGAAAATAGAAAATGGCAAGAAAACACCTCCAGTTCCTTTTTAATCTTTCCTTTCTCTAGAAGTGAATTCATCCCTAAGCTATCATATACCTCTTCTTTGACATGAAAAGATTGCACTTTTGAGCGCAGAGATGCTTTTATACTAGGGGGCAAGTTCTGATACAATGCATCCCTGGTATTTGGAGGCATGGAACCGGATCGGACTACCTGAAAGCATCAAAGCAGATAAAATAACAAAGTGATACTTGAAAGCATGATCTAGCTATGTGCCAGCATAAACAAGAATGAAAAAGTTTCAGATGGAGATGATTTGTTTCTTTCAAGTTCCAACCCAGTTCCAACTCAAATTAAACAAATAGTTCCGTGAAATATGGAAAAGGAAAGACAATCTAATTAAGGTCACCTAACAAGCCCTTGCAGAATTCAGTTCACATATATGCATAAGGATCATCCACACTTCAGCTGAACCTTAAGCTTGCAAGTTGTATGAACCATTCAACTCAAGCAGGACCCAAGCAACATCAAGATCCTCATATCTATTAATTTATTTACTTATGGTTAAAGTTTATTAAATTTAGGTTTGAAAAAAATATATATCTTCAGTACTTCCTAGTGATACTGACAAGCCAAACACAAGTGCAGAGGACCCGACACCCAAAATTTTTCTAGATATACATGCATCAATCAGTGATTCTGAAGATGAAAGGCAACATGAAAGATTAGCTGCAGGGTTGGCTGACTGAGTGAAAGTTTAAAAGTTAAGATGCATAATAACTGTCAAATTTTCAGATATTAATTATATGGCTAGACCTACAGTAGATCACACTATGATTGCATTTCAAATCTTAATTTCTGCAGGCACTATTCCATGATAAATTAGAAAGTTCCAATCAGTCTACAAAGTGACAGCATGTGTTCTAACAAACAGTGTCAACTGCAACAACAAGAACATTTAAACCTTATCATACTGCTAGAAGAATGAATAAATGCACTGAGGGTGACATAGAAGCAACATATAAATAAGTACTCACAAGAGTATCAATTTGCATAACAATATTTGCATAATGCAAAGCAAGCCCAGCAGGTCCCAATCTTTGATGATTGCTCACGCAGCCTTCATCTGGTATTTGATGGTCTGTAGGACACCAACGAAGAAAAACCTCATTAGAACTTCTATCCAAACTGATGAAGATAAATTCCAAAGAGAGTCTTGAAGGTGCAGGGGGGAAGATAAAAAGGTAGAGGAGATAAGTGATTGAGAAAATCCAGGAAAAAAGGAGAAGATAATATACATTCTTTTGTTCAGAATAAAGTGTAGAGAAAATAAAAAAAAGTTCTCTAAATAAAAAGAAATAATTTCAAGAAGGTGGGCTCAGGGGAAATAATTGAGTGACTTGTTCATATCTATATCCTTGCATTGCCTATGACTATTCACATGAATACCCACTAGAATGCAGCTTATTCACAGCAGAAGAAAATAATTACAGAGTTTACAATGACAAAATTAACCCAAAATCAGGGGGTTTGTTTTTTTAATACAACTTCCACATTAGACAATCCCAATTATTAGGTGTACAGATTTGAATGAGTATATACCAGTACTTCCAAAGGCATTGTGTATTTCTAGGATTAAATAATGAACAATGTCAACAAGATTCTCCATGACCTGTAAACCACAATTATAAGTTGCATTAGCAGTAGGTTCAAGTTTATTTCGTAGACAATTAAATCTTCATGAAACTAAATAAAAAAAATCAATTAATAGTGCTTTCCTGTAGTAAGAATACAGTGATCATTTCAAATTCTCACATGAAGAACTGCATCCATATGCACAGTTTCACACAAAAGCTTTAATAGATAGAACAATAAGTCTAACAAAAAGGAGAAATGATCAATATGAGACAGATAGCACTAAAAGAACCCAAACAAATGCTATAAAGAGATCCCTTGCAACTACCTCTTCCAAACTTCTGGACCAAAGTGACTTTTTCTTTATATTTTTTACTTGCTTTTTTTGGCTCTTCAGTTCTGCCCTCAAGATGGCAAGGCTGTTGTCACCTGCATAGTAAAGAAAGATTACACAAAGTGAATCTTTACTATTTGGAGATTGGTTAGATTTACAAAAAGAAAAAAAGAAAAAATCTACACAATCTTAGAAACTCTTGTTTAAAAAAAGGAAAAAAAAAAAAGGGAAGAAAGAAAGAAGAAGGCAAACAAAAGATATCTGGAGTGGATGCTACAACAGATCACAAACCTGTTTTAGTTTATCCAGACAGAAATGTTTAGAGTTAATTCATGTTGTCAACCCAGCATCTTACAATAGATAATATTTGTTTATTATGTTCTTATCACTTAGCTCCCCTTACAGTAAAGCATCCAAGACAGGGAAAAAACAACATTTTTTCCCTTTGACTTCTTTTTATTGTTTATTTTTTAAAATAATAATAGCAAGATAACAGTCAATTTATCCACTAATTTTATCATTTAACATTTGCCAAATATGATAAACTATCAACAAACATTCAGGCAGTCAGGTTAAAGGCTCCAAAGAGTTCTTTATTATTAAAGGTAATGCTATATGTACCAGCTATACAAGTACTACTCTCTGAGTTATAAAATGCAGCTTAGTGATTATTACTTAATAGCAATCTTCTAATCAACATGGACAGCTACAACTAAAATCAAGAGAAAAGGAAAGAAATTAATCTAAGCATGCATGTGAAAAAGTAATGGAAGAATCACCTTTTTGATTGGCAGCTGAATTATCCTCCTCGTGGCGCTTGCGCTGATAATCTTGCTCAAATCTATCCAAAATCAGTAATTCCTGGTACAGTTCCTGCAAGACCAAGATTACTTCCATTTTTAACTCAATAGCTGCAAACATGTGATTTGACATTAATTACCCAAAAGATCGCACGTTGTGTACCAGGAAACTGATAAATAGAACCATTGATATGGTTTACACCTATGTAGCAGGGTTTACAAATAAAAAACAATAATGTGAAAACTAAGATACCGAGTAATGGAAGATTAAACATGAAGTAGATCTGGCATCATGCATTACACTCTATTCAGCTAAACAGGATAAAAAAAAAAAGGCCCAAATCTTATAACTATTATGCTAGGATATAGCAGATTTTATTTCACTTGAGCTTTAGGAGTCAAGGCTTTTGTAACATCTACATCTGTTCTCAAAAGTTGGGTATTACTTCGAGGGTTTTATGTATCAGGCATGAGTTATACCGCTATAGATTAAAAGATGCTTTAAGTCAGTAATTCCCATCTAAAGTCTCCCTTTTTGGAACAATTATTTAATCTCTATACACAATTGTTAAAAACAAAGAACTCAATAGATATCTAAAGTTATATTAAAAATGTTAATAACTGAGTGAGAGTGAAACAAAGTGAGAACTCACTGCTGTATACTGCACTGAAACCATCAATTGCTCTATCACTAATTCTGCTTCTTCCTTCAAATCTTTCTGAGGGTTAAGTTCTCTACCAATTCTGGAAAACAGAACAAGTTGTCATCCAAGATGCAAAATAGAATACATATTCATTAAACTCAACCTGGTTAAGTACTAAACAAAAAATTACTTTTCAAAATAACGATCCAAATTGTGCCATTGAGGATCTTTTGAACGATTTCCAAAGCGAACAACTTCTCCTGAAAAGATTTTCAATTCTTCCCTGCAAAAGACAAGTTTGTATATTTTAAGGATGGTAGTTTCAAAATGGAGGAAATACTAAAATGATAACCAATTAACCATTCAAAGTAGTCCAATTTTAAGACATTATTTGCAGGCTCTTTATAATTATCATCACCTCTTGTCAGCAGCAACAATCCTTAAAAGTTCATCAATGTCATTTGATATTAGATTTTGCACACCATCTGAAGGAAGCACCACTTCTTTTAAATGTCTGATGCTTCTTTTTGAAAGGGATTGCATGAGACTGGAACCTTTTACAATTGTGTTTGCCACCTCAAATGATAATATTGATAGTTCGTTGCCTTTAGTTGTTACCGCAGAAGCAAAACCGCTACCAACATTTAAATTTGTCATACTACTCCCTAAAGTATCCAAGACATCAACTGCTTTTCCCAATCCTACAGTACCAGCTCTACCCAAACGTGAACTCACTTCTGAGACCTGCAACATGACAGAACTGTATCAAATTTTATATTTTTAAGAAATGAACAAATAATAGCGGGTTATTCTAAAAATTAATTCCAACATTATCGACAAACCAAAATAAACTCCATAGTTATAAATTTATAATGCCTTCTCTGCTAGGCTAAATGGAAATATGCCTTTTCTGCTAGTCTACAAGGAAATATAGCGCTTTCTTCTCTCGACTCCAAGAAATCCACCACTGAGATGCCCCTAGTTATTCAATTTTGCAAATACCCCCTTTTTAGTTCTTTTGCAATTTCGCCAAGTAGAATCAGAAATGGGGCAATTCACAATATTGCTAGCTCCACCATCCTACTGGAAATCCTACTCCGAATTTAATTTCCTTCTGGTTCCCAAAAACCACCATCCTCCAATAGCCCAAGACCAAATTACAGACTTACAGGACTAAAATTCAAAACCCATTCAAAAAAACAACTTGAAGACAAAAGATATTAGCTTCTTGGCACAAAATGCACAGACCTTGGCCACTGCTGCCTGCGTAGACCTAACCGATCGAGATTTCTGCGACATACCCCTCGTAAACCTTGGAATCCCGTCATAGAAATCGTCCGTAGCAGAGGCACCAGACTTCCGGTTTTTCTCTGGCGGTGTTTCTTCCATTCGTTTAGCTACGGTCTCTTTTACCAGTGGTTGATTAGACTTAGAATAATCAGCATCCCCATTTGCATACAGAGACGTATAACCTTTGCGCCGCTCAGCCGGCTTTGAACACAACCCTCCCATTACCACAGCTTCAGAAAATCAAAAGACTTGCAGCAACAGCGAGCTGTAACACGAAGAAGGGAGGATTAAACAAAAGACCCAGAAACCAAATTGAAGCGGAGATGACGATAAACAGAGAAAAAGACGATCTTACCGAGGGATTGAAGCAGTGTTGAAAGGAGAAATTGAAATTCCAGAGAGTAGGTGAATGAGAAGGGGGGTGGAAATTCCACCCAATCGACATCTCGCGCCAAATTAATAATTATAATTGATGATAAAAGGGAAAACACTGTAGAATCAATCGGAAGAATGCCGTCATTGGGCTACCAGCTTGGACTGGAGAATTGGTCCATTGTTGTGCGCTGACTGTTAACTCTTTTTTGGCGTCTTTCGCTGTCTGCGCGGCCTAACTTCTCTATTTGGTCCTTCTAGTTAGAGATATAATGGTTTGGTCCCTAAACTTCTATTTAAGTGAGTTCTCTTGTTGGTCATTTTTTAAGGCAAGTGATCAAGACTCAATTTGATATAACCATTTCAAAAGATCACATGGCTGATTGTAGATATATCTGTTAGTTAATATTTATTGTTGTTTAATTCAAACACTATTTTTTTTTTTTTTTGATAGAGACATTATTAATTTTTAAATAGTTTTTTTTTTTTTTTACATCTAAGTGGACAACACAAGAGAAGATATCTATCATCTTTTCCTAAATCCCTTTATATTCAACTCAAGATTCGAATTTATTCGATTCAAGATTTAAATTTGAGATCTTTAACTTGAAATTTTAAACCATTGAGCCATTCCATTAGGATTTAATTTTTAAATATTGGTTATTAGACATAAACTTTAGACATAAACTGTTTGAAACAAATAGACTAAGAAGAGCTTAAATTTTTAATCTGAAAATTCATGATAAATTTTAACTATTGAAAATAGAGAGATAAATTATTGAAATTTTGTGTAAATGTTGTGTGTAGAACTTGTACGTGAATGAATCTCTGATTTATATATAAAATATAAATTAAAATAAACCTATATGTGTATAAGAATAAAAAGCTATTACATATCTCCATAATTTTGAGTATAAATAATAGTTTGAAAAACCAATAGTCTAATTAGCTGTTTTTATTTATATAGATTACCCCTTTACCCATATCAAATTTTTCATTGATTGAATATGTTTAACTATTTTATCAATATCACAAAATTTTACATCATTATATATGTCAACAAATATAGTTTCCTTGATCAAATGCATTTGAGTAGGAAAACCCACAGTAAAAAATAAAAGAAGAAATATGTGATTTAAATATAATATAAACTACTCCATCTATAATTAATTGGTTTTAAGTTGGAACCTAATGTTATATTGAGTACATTGAACCCCACATGTTTCTTAAGAAAATGGTTACAAGTTAGACATTCAACATTCAAAACTTTAGAAACTAAAGATAAATTTTAAAACATCTTAAGAATTTTCAAAAACTTATATTTTACAACAAATATATTTTTTTGTTGGATAATGATTCGCTTACACTCGACTGTACCACACTCCGTTACACACATTCTTTTTTCCATTAGCTCCCACACTCCATTAGTCTACATTACACTCTCACCGTGAGAACCCGATCTAGGTTCTCTCTCTCCTTTTCTTTCTCCTCAAGCTCGTTTGCTCCTTCGAAATTCCTAGTAGGTGATTACAGGCTAGAACCCAAGATCAAAATTGTCTTTTTCCTTCTTTTCCCTACTCCTCCTTTCTTTTTCTTCTTCTTTCCCTCTCCTCCCCTCTTCTTCCTTCTATTCACCCCTCTTGGAGAACTCAAATCTGGGTTCTCGCATGAAATTGGTGACAAATCCTCAATTTTTTTTTGGTATGATAGAGAAATTCTAATTGGAAACATGGGTTTGTTTGTGTGTAGCATTGTTTTTCCTGTGGATTGAATTTTCATGGTTTCAGGTTGAAAGAAAGCTAAGGAGACAATTTATTCAATTTAAGTTTAGAGGAAGTGTTCCACTAAAATGTTGATAATTTCCTTGGTTGGAAGAGAGGGTTGGGTGTTTGGTTTGGGATGGCTGGCAATTGTCTTGCAGATGATTAGGATGAGAATGGAGGTGAGGAGGAAGAAGGATTTGGTGAGGATGGAGACTAACGGAGTGTGGGAGCTAACGAAAAAAAGAATATGTGTAACGGAGTGTGGTAGGATCAAGATCAAGTGTAAGCGAATCATTGTCCTTTTTTTTTTTTTTTTCAAAATTAGGTGAAACAAGTAATCCACACTATAGCATTAGCTTTTTATACACCTCTAAAAGGATGGTTCAACTAATTAAGGGCTTAAAATTTCAACTTCAAAATCTTAAATTCAAACTGTGAGTTGGATGAAGAGAGATTTAAGAAAATAAAAGAGTTATTTCTTTTTATATAACTCATTATTAAATGTAAAAAAAAAAAAAAAAGAATAACTTATTGCATACAAGGCTTCAAGTAGGGTAGGGAATCCTTATTCTTATTGGCCATTGCTACCCCTTTCCTTTAAAAAA